TGGGGGGTGACTCTCACGACAAAGAATTTGGTTCGTAGTCTGGGGGTCCATCTTGACCTGGTGCTTACCATGGAGACTCAGGTAGCGTCTGTGGTTTGGTCTATCCATTTACATCTTCAGCTGATCACCCGCTGCGTCCCTATCTAGACACAGGGATGCTCACCATACTGGTCCATGCGCTCGTAGTCTCAAGAATAGACTACTGTAATGCTCTCTATGTGGGGCTTCCTTTGAGCCTGATCTGGAAGCTCCAGATGGTCCAGAACACGGCGACTAGGCTATTAACAGGGGTGAAAAGATTTCACCATATTTCCCCCACCTTGGCTGCCTTACACTGGCTACCTATCTGGTTCCACATTGATTTTAAGGTGCTGACCATTACATACAAAGCCCATAATGGTTTAGGCCCTCAATACCTGGCAGAGCACCTTCTTCTGCCCAGTTCTACCAATATCACCCGCTCCAGTCAGGCCAGATTCTGGGTGAGAAAAAACTAGAAATCGGGCCTTCTCACAGTGGCCCGATTTCTAGCCTCTGGAACAACTTGATTAGTGAACTGGTTAGATTAACAGTCTCTTTTGTCTAGGGTTGTCAGCATGACAGTTTATTAACCTGCATCAAGTCTCAGGAAGAAACGGTGACTAGTCTTGTTTCGTGAGATCTATTAGGGACACCTCAAAAACAGTGAATGCCCTGTATGGTTACGACTTCCACACACTAAGAAACAGTCAACCCTTGTATATTTTTTTGCATATACTGTACACTAGAAAAACTACATGAACACAATTTTTAAAGCATATTTGCTGTATTGTTATAGGCAGTATCCTACAGTGGTGCCTCGCTTGACGAGGATAATTCATTCCGTTGAAATCGCTGTTAAGCGAACTCCTTGTCAAGTGAAATGAAAAAGCCCATTGAAATGCATTGAAATTGGTTCAATGCATTCCAATGGGCTGAAAACTCACCATCCAGCAAAGATCCTCCATAGGGGCGACCATTTTCGGTGCCTGTAAAGTGGGGAATCCATCCTGAAAACACAGCGGGGAGCCATTTTGCATAGCTGGCGGCCATTTTAGAACCGCCGATCAGCTGTTTCAGAATTATTGTTTAGCGAAAAATTGGGAACTGATCATTGTTAAGCGAATTTTCCCCATAGGAACATCGTTTTGCAATCGCAAAAATTCATAATGAAGCGGTTTTGTCGTTTATGAGGCAATCGTTAGGCGAGGCACCACTGTATTGCCTAAAGACAGAAGGGAGCAGCAATTATGTAAGCACACACCTTCCAAGCCAGGAAGCTCACCAGCAGCTGCTGGTTGTAAGATCAGTTGTGAAAATGATCCTACAACAGGAAACTTGCTGAGTGGGACAAGATGCTTATGAGATGGTTATGTGATTGTTCTTCTTCACGTCTAGGCAACAGGAAACTGGCCTATGTGAACACACAATTTCCTATTTGTGTGCACATCATGCAAACCACTGCACATGTCAATTCAAACATCCTTATTTGAACTAATTAATAATTACTTGTAAGACATCATGCAGGGAAAATGTTTCCTCTTTTACAGAGGTGTGATCCTCCTCAGTTGAAAATGATACTAACCATTAAAATAAGATTTTATCCAGGAATGTTCCTCTACTGAGAGACAGACCTTTAATCCAATTGATCTGTCTATCAGTGAAAGGGGGAGGATGGCCATTTTTGCCAATTCTCCCCATTGTTTTGAACTACTTTCCATGCTGTTCCAAAGCGACCGCTCAAGCAATCTGGGGTGGTACTGGAAGAAATGCTTGCCTCTGAATAGATTCTTCCTCTGTTAGGATCTAATGTCAGTGTGACTTTTTGAATTCACCTAAAGCTGTTCTACATACATGTGAAAACAGGTTTCTAAAAGGAAAATGTAGTCTCGAATCTTCAGTTAATACATATAGAATAAGCCTAGAAAAAGCTAGAAAAAGTTGTTGATTTCTCAAATGATTTATGTCAAATCAAAGCAAAGATTTATTATGATCATAGATTAGCCAAGAATAAATTATGTGTACAAGGTCATTTCCAAACAAGGCAACTAATGTGAAAATTAGGCCAGGTATTAAAGTGATAGTCATTGCACAAAAACAGTGGTGGTTTAAAAATAAAAAAACCAAAACAAAACGTAGCTCAATTCTGCCTTGCCTCCCAGCAGAATTACTCAACAGCTCAAATGTATAGGATACTGTACTTTAAGAAGAAAAACATGTACAGAGATACAATTTTGATTAGGCAACATTCTGACTTAGAAGTCTCCTGAATAATAATCATAAATGCAGCAATACATTGTAAAAATTAGAAATATGTCATAAAGCCAAAATTTGTCCATCTATTACTTCTTTGTACAGAGTGGATAACATAGTCTTCAAGGCACTATGACAGTGCAAGTCTCACAGTCCAGTCCTAAACATATCTGTTCAGAAGTAAGTTCCACTGAGTTCAGCTGTACTTATTTTCTGGTAAGAATGCTTGAAATTGCAACCTTAGATTAACAAGTAAATCCCAAGTATTTCCATTTCTACTAAAAGTTGCTTAGTGCAGACATTTGAAACATAATATAAGATGGCTTGTTATAAGGATACACTGCAAAACCCAGAATAATTAGAAGAAATATACCATAGTGTACTGCTATTAACAAAATTTCTGTTTGCAAAAGTTCCTGAATAGTTTTCTTTCAACAAAATTACAGTTCTTGTGCCATATGGTTTCATGCAACACAGGAAGAGAAAATTCATTTGGTAAAACTTTAAATCAATCAAGACTGAAATCAATCAATTCAGCATTATATTATAGTTACAAATTTAAGTGGTAAAACATGAAAGGCACTGAATAACAATTTCAAGACAACCGCTGGGAATTTAAAGGAGATTATCAAGAATTCTGAGAATGAGAATATTACATATCCTCCACATCCTTCATGTCCACTTGTATCCAATCATACAACATGGGAAAATCTTCAATCTGAAACCTAATGGCATTCAATAATATTGAGAAAACATTAGATTAATAAACATGTGCTTTCTCAATCCATTCACTCTACATAACAAAGGAAATGCAGGGATCTCTTTTTTGATAGAATCACCCATCCATTAACAGAAGCTGGTGTTAATACTGTATAAAGTTCAATCAGCTCTGACTACACTTACAACAGATAGCAGATTCCATCCTCAGCTGGGTATAAGAGAACCTCTAGACGTTAACTGAAGTAGTACTATTCTTATGTCATATCAATCACATCCTTAAGAAAACTAAATGTGCCCCTGCCTTGAACTCACACAGAATCCCTGAAATCTAGCAGCAGTTGCAACAGAAAGTGGTGAAACAATTTACTACATAAACTCTTCAGCTAGCAACGTGTGCCTCAAATCTGATAATTCATGAACCTTCCTTTTCCCAAGATCAAATTAAAACAAGAATCGTAATTTGGATGTTTATCACATTGCTGGGGCTAAATAAATGTCACAGATCATCCAAATACTTGTCCCTAGGTGTTTTAATTCCTAGATTTTTATCCTGTGAGAACATTTAATAAACCTATGAACTACAGTCCTGTCTCTTGTTGCTTAACCAAAAATGCCACTGGTGTCCTTCAGAGGCACTTACTAGAAATTCTACGTTGAATTGGTCATGCTCTACAAGCCTCCTGGATTAGGGAAAATAGGACAACATTAGTTCTATCCAGGTAACTGTATTAATCTAACAAAACATTTTCATTTTATAAACAGCAGAAATCCATTTTGAATTTGCAACTATTTTTAAAATTCTTCTCAGGTACTTCCAGATAAGGCTTCAATTATAAACATTCCCTGCCTCATCCACAGAATTCTGCAGGGAGGTGTGGTTTTCCATTCATCATCTGCCTATGTTTTTCCATTACTTCATTATTTTTTATTCCCATAGAAAATCTGTTAAAGAAGAAAAGATCAAATAGTTGCACAACAGCACGGAACCTGTTCACCTAGAAGCACACTCAGGTTAAAACTACATGATACACTCAGCATGGTTTTAGAAGAGATGCTCCATCTAGTGGTACAAAATCTCTCTGTGTCACAACACATGATTTTCCTCACACATGTATATTTCATTTAGCGTTTTCTTTTATGACAGCCTTAATTTTACCATCTCATTGCTGAGACGTGTATTTCTAAAATCCTGCTTTGGGAAGGAAAATAGGTTAATCAAAAGGAACATGCATTCCCCTCATCTAATCTGACTCATAGTTTTAGAATATGGAGGTATGGTGTTTGTCAAACACAAACCACATGTTCTCATAGAGACACAGGAAATCCAGCAGAGCATAACTTTGGATTCTGTGTGTTCAGCTTGGCTGATGAAGGACCAACAAGAGAAAAGATAAATCACTGCATCACATTATCACAAAAGTTACTACTGCAGTGCACTTAAGGAAATTTTTATATAAGCCAACTTGGGAACCTAATTTCACTGAGATCCAAAGAAGCCATGCATAAATAGATCTGCATGGTTGACATTTTATATTGGTAGCACCCTAAAATTGAAAGTGGTTTGAAAGAGGATTTATGTCTCACTATTACCTGGTCAAGAAAGTTTCACAAATCTTTGTTACAATATAAAAGCTTTGTTTTATCAAGAGTAAAAGCAGGATACATGTACAGATCGTGAGCAGCAATTCCTATTTCAAAACCATTTCAGCCTTCTGGGGAAAGAAATAATCTCCAGTCTAAAACAGGCACAACAGAAGAGCTGTTTGTGTGTCTGATAAGCAGCCAGCATGCAGAGCTGCTCTTGCATAGCAACACTAGTGTTCTTTAAAATTAAACTGTCAGAAATGTTAAGTTGCTAAGGAGGGAAAAGGTAATGCTTCTGCTACTGTAAGCCAAAAATGTAATTTTTCTCTCCTACTGTGTTTTGTTCCACCATTTAAGTATTCTTCTCTCAATAAATCGGCTTGTTGACAGGTCATCTACAACACCGCATAGCACCACCAAAAAACAAAACAAAACACAAGGACAACAAAATCAGAAGAAGTTGCAATCATAGAGGATTTGCACAACATTTCTGTAAGTTAAATGAAAATGTAAATATGGGGTGGGAAGGGAATAAGCCTAAAAGTGTTCTGTTAAAGACCTGGGGTGGCTTCCCTCTTGCACCTGCTCCATTTTACCTGAAATCAGCATTCAGTCAAGGTATGACAGTTAATTCTGCTCCACGGCATTTTGTGCATTTGTTAAAGTGGAATGTTGATTTTTAATTTCGGCAAACCTTCTCATAGTTGTATCTAACTGGCAGCCTTCTTGGATCCTGATAAGTTATGAAGCCACAATTACCTGTTAAGACTCTAATAATGAGTGCCATCTACATACTTGTTGTCCTTTTGATTCCTTCATGGAAGTCCAATGGTTGAGTTCTTCTTCGCCAGAACTATTCAAACCTAAAGCAATCCAGCCTATCATTTCCTTTCGCTTCATGCTACGTTTATTATACACAGATAAGATGAGTGTAACATCAGAAAGCTGAAATAGGGCCACTTGAAAAATAAAGGTCTCTTTGTAGACTGGATTTGGCTGCCCTCTTCGAATGGATGTCTTGCACTTGGACATCTCTTGACCCATAGAATTCAGCAATGTCAGCTTAACAAATGTATCTATAAAACAAACAATTGGAAACATGAGATGTCTCTGACAAAGGATTTCTCCTATGGAATTAACAGCATATTTTTAAGGTTATGGTGTATACCACATAGGATTTTAATAATTAAATAAGCACAGTAATATAAGGACAAGAAGGAAAATATTTGATTTCAACATTTACTTAGTTGTATTTATCTTTTCGTAGCAAATTGACTTAAATTGACATAAGCAGAACACTTTTAAAGGTATACCACATAATCTTTCTACCCATTACCAATTGCTCATTTGCATTAAGCAGACACATGTAGCATTAACATTTAGCAAGCTACAACTGGCCACAACACTGTAAAGCATACCAAGTTTTTAGATAATATTAAAAAATTATATAAAGTGCAAAATAAACACACATATAAATAAATAACAGAAATGGAGTGGAGTGCAATGATACACCATCAGAGCTCATGATGAAATGTTTTTACAAAAAAAACAAATCTCTGCATGGATGTGGTTTGCACTCAAGATTTCTTTTGGATTTATAAACATTTAAAATGCCAAACATACAACAAAATGCACTGAAAAGTTAATGTTTACTTATCTGAGTAAAGCTCTTCATATATAATTTTTTTCATTATATAAATAGAACAGGTGTCATGCTATTATAGCACAGTTTCTTTATAATGCTTCTAAGAAGTACTGTGCCACAAACAGTTAAATATTAGGGCACAATTCAAAATCCTATGCACACAGCAGATTCATTTGGCTGCTCATAGAAGACAAGGACATCCTTGTCTGTGTGAAGCTGCACATGCACATAGAATCATAGAGCTGGAAGGAACCTGTAAGGCCAATCCCCTGCTCAATGGATGAATCCAAATCAGAGTACATCTAACAGATGATTGTCTAATTTTCTCTTGAATGTTCCCAGTGTTGGAGTGCTCACCACCTCCTGAGGTAATTGATGTTGTACTGCTCTAAAAGTCAGGAAGTTTTCCCTGATATTCAATCAAAATGTGGCTTCCTTTGAGTCCATTATTATATATCCTGTACTCTGGGATGCCTGAGAATAGATCCTGCCCCTCCTCTGTACAACCCCTGTACTCTGGGATGCCTGAGAATAGAACCTGCCCCTCCTCTGTACAACAATGTTTCAAGTATTTAAAGAGTGTTATCATACCTCCCTTCTTTTCTCAAGGGTGAACATGCCCAGTTCTTTCAGTCTTCTCTCATAGGGCTTGGTTTCCACTCCCCTGAACATCCTTGTTATCCTTCTCTGATCTTGTTTCATTTTGTCTGCATCCTTCTTAAATTGTTGTGTCCAGAACTGGACACAGTACTCAAAATGACGCCTAATCATTTCTGAATACAGTGCTGCCTTGCAAGACGAGCACCCCGTTTAATGACGAAATCACATAATGACAAACTTTTTGCGATCGCAAAAGTGATCGCTTTACGATATTTTAAATGGGTTTTTTTCACTTTGCGATGATCGGTTCCCTGCTTCGGGAACTGATTCTCGCAAAATGACGATTTTCTGGCAGCTGATTGGCAGCTTCAAAATGGCCACCGGGTAAAAAAAATGGCTCCCCGCTCTTTTCTGGGACGGATTCCCCGCTGTACGGGCAGCGAAAATGGCCGCTATGGAGGATCTTCACTGGACACTGAGTTTCAAGCCCATAGGAATGCATTAATCGGGTTTTAATGTGTTTCTATGGGCTTTTTTATTTCGCATTATGACGTTTTCATTCTACAGCGATTTTGCTGGAATGAATTAATGTCGTAATGCGAGGCACCACTGTATAGTGGAACTAGTACTTCATGGGATTTTGAGGCTATACTTCTGTTAATGCATTGTAAAATACCATTTGCCTTTCTTGTAGCTGCATCACACTTTTGGCTCATATTCAGTTTGAGATCTACAACAATTCCAAGATCCTTCTTGGAATTGATGTGCATTGGACATACTGCATCAAGGGAATGAGTTCATTAATACAATATTTCTCACATATAATTTTTCATTTTTATGATAGCGTTTCCCATTTTATCCAGGAAAATGCACCCATAGCCACTAAATGCAGAGTGCTCTACTTTATTTAAAAACAGAAGGTTTCGCTGTCTTTATTTTCTTATCTTGTGCATGAAACTGGATTATTTTTCAAAGACAAAGGATTAATGTACAGATATGCCCCTGTACTCTTTCCCCATTTTTTAAAATGGATTTTTGAAATACCATCATCCATAGTCAGAGATTAGGACTATCTCCATTACATAAGTGAGATAATTAATGTACATTGTCAGAAACCAACATGGTGGAGAGTGATTGAAAGCTCTGCTGCTGGTGACTTTCTTTTGCATGAAAAAGACAACATCCAATTAGTCTCTATAGGAACTCACCTCGTATTATATAAACCTGTCCACCTATCAAGTGTTTTAGACAACAGAACAGTCCGTCTGACAACAGGGGGTGGAAAGCAGTAAAAGAAATAATGTCCAGATGTCAATAGTTGGGTGAGAGAGGATCAAAGGTTAAAGTTTAAGAGGAAATACTATTCACCAAGTAGAAGAACACGAAATCTTACCAAAGCAGTTTAGAGAGAGGGACTGAACAAAAGGACTGGCAGGTACAATTTAATGAAATGAATTTTGTAAGGTCACGGTGTAATTTTTAGTAAAAAAAATTACACTGTTTCAAGTAATGGGATATATTAATATTAATTTATACTTGGTTTGAAACAGAGAACATACATTCATGCAAAAGATCAAGCTACAAAACTAGAACTCTTCTTTTTCATGCAAACCCCAGCTTTCTGAGTAAGGGTCAAATCAGTGACCTCAGACTGTGAGAGACTAAGGAGATTAGCATAGAGTAAGTGGCCACTGAATTGCACCCTGTATATATTACAAAAAATACAACAAAAGCTAATTGGATTAAAATTAATTTGGCTGGCAGTCTGTTCTCAATTAATGTATACTTTCATTGCCACTTTATCAAATCATTCATTTGAGAAAAAGTGTTAAATTAAAGTGAACAGAGCTTGGAAAGTTAGGAAATGATAGACAGTGGGAAATTAACTTGTTCATAGTAACATTTAATATTCAGAAATTTGAAATTGCGAATATTAACGTGTTAATCAAATATTGAGGGAAAATATAAAATATTGAGGCACTTTGAAAACTAACAGATTGAGTTCGGTGTGAACTTTCGTGGCTCAAAATCCACTTCGTCAGGCACAAATGTAAATACACGGCCTACATATGTATAGGTATTGCCATGAGCAGCTGAGGATACAGATAACAGACAAAATGACAATAGTTCATTGTAACAGAAAAGAGGAGTTAAGAGTGCTACAATATTTTGCTTGTTTTTTTTCTTTTTCATTTCTGCCAACATACTAAACCAGTGGTTCTTAACCTTTTTGAAAGAAATGCCCCCTTGAGCCATTGAGGAAGTTATCATCGCCCCCCCTCCCCGCGGTGATGATCTGATCGCTTCCTCTGGGCAAGAGCTTCAGTGTGGGAGCAGCCACAGAGAAGGCCCTCTCCCAGGTCCCCACTAAATGCACCTGTGAACGTGGCAGGACCAAGAGAAAGGCCTCTCTTGATGATCTTCACAGCTTTATGAGCAGGCTCATAAAGGGAGACACAGTCCCTGAGATAGCTTGCACCCATTTAGGGCTTTATAGGTTAGAGCTGGCACTTTGAATTCACGCCCCCATGCCGCCCCTTTTTGTTCTACCGCCCCCCTGAAAAATGAAATCGCCCAGTGGGGGGCATTATCGCCCACATTAAGAACCACTGTACTAAACCAAATTAACATGGTTACTTCTTTAGAGATTTATACCAGGTAACCCGCCGTGGGCCTTAAAAATGAATTTGGATTTTAACCTCTAGAAGCCTTAGTAAATGCAACCAATATTTTCTATAAGATTTCTGAGAGGTATAGTCTACCAAGAATCTCAAGATTGGGAATTACAGCTTGATAAAGAGCCAGTTGACCACTTCCAGTTACATCTCTTTAGCATAACACTATTAGAAGTCTTCACTGAAAATATAGGCTCAGCTGAACGCTGCGTCAGATCCTTGTTCTACCATCCCAGATCACTCCTGGGATCATAGTGACCAGTCCCTACTGGATGCAAATCAGTTGAACAGAACTTTCTAACACCTTTTTTTTTAATCGTGGCTTCCAAATCCCACGGGTAATGGTTGTTGTGGGCTTTTCGGGCTCTCTGGCCATGTTCTGAAGGTTGTTCTTCCTAACGTTTCACCAGTCTCTGCGGCCGGCATCTTCAGAGGACAGGAGTCAGAACTTTGTCTGTGCTCTGGCTCCTGTCCTCTGATGATGCAGGCCACAGAGACTGGCGAAACATTAGGAAGAATAACCTTCAGAACATGGCCAGAGAGCCCGAAAAATCCACAACCATCAGATCCCAGCCGTGAAAGCCTTTGAGAATACCCATGGGCAATGCTTGAAAAACAATACTATTTTAATGATATTACAAACAAGTCCTCGCTGGGTGCAATGAGAAGCTCTTTTATAATTGAGAAACCTATGCAGGCATGCTGTTAAACTGGCAAGAACAAACAACTAAGCTGAAACATTTTGAATCCAGTTCTTTTTAGCTGACATAGGGGTGGCTGCAAATCTGCCTGCTTGAATGAAACAGAAGAAGAAATGAACATAAAAAAGAAATAGAGTATACAGAGCCACCTCTGTCTGATGGGATGGGGTGAGATGTTGGGCCCTACATTTCTAGCTAAGAAAAGAAAGAGCTCCACTATGTGAAGAAAGTGGAGGGGGAAATCAGGAATCATCAAAGCGCTTTGATGCCTGCTTTCTGCCTCCACTTGCTAAGTGGGCTTAGCAAGAAAGGGGAAAGCAGGGATCAAAACAATCCTGCAGCACTTTGATCTCTGCTTTCCCTCTCCACTTGCTAAGCCCCACTTAGATTTCTTAATTTTGGTTTAGAAAATGGGGGGTCTTATACATGGGGGTGTCTTATACATGGAAAAATACAATAAGTCTATTTTTAGTGAACAAAAAACCATGGTAGAATCCTTTATAGTCTATAATGCCTGCATCAACATAGAATAAATAAAATTAAAAGGACCTCAGCCTCATCCCTAGTTATTCGTGTTTAGATATAATCTACCTGAACCAGAGAAATTTTAAAAACTGTAAGAAAGTGCCTTGTATGGTTGTAGTTAGAATAACTACCTCTTTCTAAAGGCCCATTCTAATTCAGAGATGAATAATGTTTAGAGGTTTGCTGGCTATTACAGAGGCCATCTCTGGTTCTTTGACTCTGGAACTCCCTCCCACTGGAAGCCAGACTGACCCCATCTTTACTCTCCTTCTGGAAGCAGCCAAGGACCTTTCTCTTCAGGCAAGCTTTCCCTGAGGGACTGGCTGCCGCGTGGGGTACTAAACAGGTTGTTGTACCTTACAGCTGTGAATGTGTTCTGCTGTTATTTATGTTTTTTAATATTGTATTCATTTGATCTTTTTAATATTCATTTGTTTACTCACTGTTGCTAGCTTAAATACTGTACTGTATTTTAACTTTTGTATGCCACCTTGGGTCCTTTTTAAGGAGAAAGGCAGAATAAAAATATTTTTTAAAGTAATAAAACAAAGTACCAGACTTGCTTCTGTAACACACACCCTTCAGTGATTTTTTTTTACATTAACTGATTGTTTGGAGGGATTTTTAAAATAAAAAAGGCCATGCTCCCTCTAGTGGCCAAGAAACATTTTTAAAAGTTTTTAAAAAATGTTTGGGAGGTCTAAAGGAGGGCTCAGTGGTGCCTGAAATAATGGTAGAATTGCTCCCACATATCCTGGAGGGCACAGGGGGATATTATGAGCACATTTTTAAAAACAGAAGTATGTCTGGAGGTGTTGTTGGTCCCACGGGTGCTGAGGGGCTACATGTGTGTCAGCATGTTGCCCATCCCTGGTCTTATACTATAGCTTACAATCACATTTAGATTCCTAATGAATAGCGCAGAAAGAATAGGGTGCTTTTCATCAGGACTGGATTATGTAGTCAGGAAAATCTAATTCTATCCCCAACAGCCACAATCCTGATCATGTTTCCTGTCCTGCTATTAGCCTTAGTAAAGAAAGGCTTTCAATAGTGCCATTCTTTGACTAACTGTGGCAGGGTTGGTAGGTTTGGGTAGGGGTTGAAGGGACAGCATCTTAAAAAGGAAGAATTAGACCTGTCTTCCCTATACTCCCTGTTTCCAATGAAAATCAGGATATTCTATACCTAGCCTTAATTATTTTCAGCATGCTTGATAACCATAAAGTAACATCTAGTTTGACCTTAAACCACAAATGACTCCTTAGAAGCAGAGCAGTAATGCTATTAAGAAGATGAAACCTGCATGCTTCTCATAGCTTCTATAGGATGGCAACAAATGCTTTGTTTAACAAGGTGGTTGCTGCAAAAACACACACACACACATAAAAAACACTGCAGGTTCTAGCCCCTCTTTTTTTAACTACATTTAGGCATACTTACTTGAATCCATACCCTGATACTACTGTTTTGTTGCCACAGGTAGGTAGCAGTGATACAATATATGTGCACAGTAGTGGCAGTGGGAAAGACTATAACACTTTGGCTGCAGTCTTAAAACATCAAGCCTATTTCCTCCTTCAGCTTCTTCAGGCTCCAATTACTGTTGTCAGTTTCTATTCCTGATCAGTTTTCTAAACTGATGGCCCAGGTTAGAAAAGCTAGATTTCAGTGCAAGTGACATGTACATCGGATCCCTGCCTCTGTTTGTACAATCTGGTCCCTACAATCACACAAAAAGGGAATGTGATTATGCCCAATATAAATACACTGTTATCTCCATCTGAGGCCATCTTACTATTTGATTATATAGTTTTTGTAATGCAAATGCACAAACACACAAAGTGCCCCGTTTCTTTGTGCTTGCTATCAGGAAATGAATCAATTTTTTCCCCAGTCAGCACTGAGACCATCGTATTTAAATTATATATGTTGATATCACTTAAATTCTTGCATAGCTGCAAACTCTTATATGACCATCCTTAACTGCAGTAGTGTTGACACATTTACATAAACATTCACTGGTGCATATTTTTAAAATACTTTAGAACTTTTTGTATTGGCTCTGAGATGTGAGGCATTAATAGTTTAGTAATTAATCATTAAGATAAAGGCAATTTATAAGTCAGTCATGAAAAATTGAAAAGGATCTTGTCAAATCACAACCAATATTTTGAATTTTAGATTTCTGCCATTTTCCCCAATGATTGGAAATATAAAACATGAAACAGATTAGCTGATGATTGCACTATTTCAGTTTGACTGGGGTAAGACTAAATGATAGGACTGAAGTCCCCACTAGTGAAATCCACCAAAGTGCAGACGTTAAAAAAAGAAAGAAAGATATATTCCACTCACTGGGTGGTCTGTTTGCTGCCAGGTTTTTGAAGTGGCTGCCTTTTATCACTTCTGCTGCTAGTCTTCCAGTTGTGGCATTATAAAGCAGTCCAACGAGGATTTCTGGAGCTGAGCCATGTGCCAGAGACTGACAAGAGGAGGTACTTTCACTGCAGGACATTTCTGACATGCTCATTTGGGAGTCACATCCCTAGAAGCAGAAATAAAAGTGTTTGCAAGCATCTGAAGCAACCAAGAAATGGGAGATTTCCTAGTATTTATTCATCTCTTTAGTTCTGAATTCTAATGTGATCATAGAGGCACCATGATGCCTTAATGCAAAATAAAATGGGAGAGTGGGATTCTAAAAGGAGTAACATGCAAAACATTGAGATAAAGCCCTTCAGATCCTAATGGAGTCAGTCCCGTCCTTTTGCCAATTCCAGCTCTCTCAAGCAAGAGGACCACAACTCCCATTGTCCCCAATGACGGGGTAGGGCTGATAGGAGATACAGATCAAAACAATCTGTTGGTTACCATGTAAGTGAAGGCTGCTCAGTTTTGTCTAAAGAGCACTTTCCTGGGAGGACCCGCTTTAGGGTTGTCCAAATCCAATCTCTGCCAAACTTGGTATGGGTGATGAGGAGAGTCAGCCAAAGAGTCAGTCCAAGTTTGCCAAAGGTTGGATTTGAGATGTCCGAGTTATAGCCAATTTACAAATCACCAATGCTGCTGACCAATAGTTCAGCATTTCACTTCCTTCTGGGCAGGCACATTTCCATGAAGTGCCCAGAAATGAACCACGAAAGGACTCCATTCATGTGGGTTTTTTTTGCTTTGTAGTTTATTTCGTGCCCATCTCTACCTGTGATAAGAAACAATGCATCAGGGAGGGGAAAACAACTGCCATCAGGATATGTGGTAATCTATACCGCTTCAAGAACAAATAGTTCTACTAAATGCAACTTTTGTGTGTTTGCATCAACATTAACAAATTAGAAAATGCAAAGAACTGCCAGTGACGGAGGTTTGTTAATTATCATTTACCCCTCCCCCCTTTTCGCTATCCGTCCTAATAAAACTGATTCCTTTGAAATTGTTGGTTGCATCTGCAAGGATGTTGCCATCAGTGTATGTTCATGGTGCCTCTCTAGAGGATGTTTCAAACCTATACTGTTTAAAACAGGGATGCCCAGCCTTTTTGCCTTTGAAGACCATCTCCAGCTTAGGGGAGGTTTCATAATACTGCTATGCATGCACCTGCACACACATACAGAAGGATGGGAAAATTCAACCTCATCCTCACTGTACTAATCCTGAACAAGATTACCATAGAACACGGGAGAATTTATTTATTTATTTATTTAACTTATATGTTGCCCACACTACCCAAAGGTATCCGGGTGGCTTACAACAATTTAAATTCAATAAAAAGATAAAAAACAATTAAAATACAATGCTCTAAAAACTGCCATCAGGACCCACAGTTGATATTATTTCAATTAAAAACCTTCTGGCACAGGAAGGTTTTGACCTGGTGCCAAAACGTCATCAACAAATGTTTCTAATTGCTAATGGGATGTAGTAACTTTCTCCCCTCAACAACTCTGATGAGATCTGACGCTTTAGCACCACCACCACTGTTTCAGCCCCCCTAAAAGTGTTGTCAAAGTGATGGTCCTTATCGCCTACAGCTGCAATTTCCACCTCAACTACTCCAAAACAATCAGCATGGTCCTCTAGCCTCTGGCTCCTTTCCCTCCATGGCACTACTATTTCGGCCTCTAGCATTTTGGTACTTCCATCAGCAGAGAAGCAGCAGCAATGCCAATTGCTTAGCTGCAGAAGAGGCTAGCAAACTCAAACAGCATTACTGTTTTTATGTTGCCATTAGCAATGAAGAAGCAACAGTGATGATCAGTGCGGGGGACGGGGGCAGCAAGGCTGGAAGCCATGGACGCTGCACAATATGCCTCCAAGGCCACATGTGACCCATGGGCTATGAGTGCTTAGTTAAAAGGTTTGAAATTCAGAGCTAAGTGGGATTTGATCCCATGTCTTCTACTCTAATGATCTAAAAATATCTTACTCAGTCTTTGAATATGTGTCTACGGTTTTGCTAAGCCTGAGAGCACTGACCATCTCTGCAATAAGGAGAGAGGGTAAGCATGAGCTCTACATCTTAGAAGCCTGTGTTCTAAATAATTTTGTGAACTTAAGCAAGACTGAGGGAGAATTTTGTACTTTGAAATGACATCCAATGCTCAAAATTTAGATCGCCTGAAGCCACTAAGATGGTATGATAAATCTGTCAGCTGGGAATCAGGACAAACGTCTCAATGTTTACCACAAGGCAAATTCCATGAAATCTACTCAGTGAGTTCTAGTAAGTTAGTTGGGTAGAACAAAGCTGTTCATTACTCAAATGACTCAGCAAGATACAAACAAATGCTCTTCAATAGCTCTACCTAATATAAACCAAAGATTGTCACAAGCTTATCCTTGCAAGGAAGCTTATATGTACAAGCATGGAAGCAAGATCATTTTGCACATGAATAAAGTGAAATTTAAAATAAATTATCCAGCCATTGCTGATTTCAATGTAATTTGAAATCACAGGTTCTTAGCAAAGCCACGTCTTCTTTGAGCCCTTTATTTTCCCATAAAGCAAGGGCAGCCCTGTGCTTGTCGTTAATGGAGCACACACTCTGCCCAAAGAGAATGCCTAGTGCTCACCATAACTTTTTTCTTTTTGAATGGACAACACTATGTAAAGTAGACATACAGTGGACCCTTGACTTACAGACGGCTTGACTTACAGACTTTTTGAGTTACAGACTTCTCTGGCCGCAAACTTTAGGTTTGACTTACAGACTGAGATTTGACTTACAGACTAGAAAAAAAACCAAAATGGAACAAAAACAGCCTGTTACGGGATTAATCGGTTTTCAATGCACTGTAGGTCAATGGAGACTTGACTTACAGACTTTTTGACTTGAGAACCGCCTTCCAATACGGATTAAGTTCTCAAGTCAAGACCCCACTGTAATGAGATCTGCCTACGAGTGCTAATTGTTTGGTAAAGGTAAAGGTTGTCCTTGACATTTAGCCCAGTTGTGTCCGACTCTAGGGCGCGGTGCTCATCTCCGTTTCCAAGCCACAGAGTGAGCGTTTCTGTCCGAAGACTATTTCCGTGGTCACATGGCCATCACGACTAGACACGGACATCTTATATCATCTGTCTATAGTCAGACCCCATGCATGGAATCCAAAGAACAGTATCCAGGGGAATATGTAACTCCCTTTGAACCATGCTCACTGACCCTTCTAGAATGTTTTTCCTAAAATACTCTCTCATTCTTATAGAGGGTCACTAACTGTTTTCCAGTCCTATAGTGAGAACCCTCAGAGATCTGCTAACATTGCTTCTGTGGTACCACTAAACGAGGCTTCTGATAACAAGTGTAAAACTGGCCAAGCTTTACCACCATCTTATTTGGTTTTCTGATAGTAACAGAAAAACACACACACACATCCCAGTTAAGAATCCTGTATTTGTGTGTGCGCTATAGTAAGTAGGGAAGCTAGCTAATTCTTAACTTCCTTGTAACCGGATACATTGGAAAATGTGCTCCAAGCTTATGTGAATGAGAATTTCTGGTGTATACACGGAACTTTTCAGTTTCATTACCATTTGCTTCAGTACAGCAACCATATATGATTTTCTACTGCACTCCACCAGCCTTATACAGAAGTCTACCAAGTATTCCATAAATGTCTTGCTTTTGATGAGTCTCAGACTCCACAGGGTTCACAAGCATCTAAGCAGGCCATGGGCTGGTGCACTATATTAAGTTCAATGGTTCGTATGCTGGGTAATGCCTGTAACAGACAAGTGGGTCCAGGAGTATATTTTGTACAAAAGGGTGCATTCCCTTTTTGGAAATGATTTGTATGTACTGTACTGTATATTGAACTCTTCAGGAAGCAAAATGAAAAGCAGGACAACGAATGCAGATCTGAATACATATCTAGATTGATAGTGGGCCACTGTTACCCAAATCACTTTGCAAGAGTTTGAATAAAACGTTTGCTATTAATATTTCATTTTTATAGTATGACTTCAATGTAAGTAAAATAAAATGATCCATTTTGAAGAAAGTTTAGAACTATAATCTTTAGAAATGATCTCAAGTAACAATGCCTGCTTCATATGCTATCCCAATGGTAGCGTGGAAACATTAAAACTGAGTAGTGACTCAATAGATAACAGATTTTTGTTATGGCTACAATTCTGCATTAATTTGCACCGAACTGAGTAAGTTGTACTCAAGTTTGGATAAGCACATATAGAGACTGAGCTGCAAAACACTTAATCGCTTTGTTTGAAAAATTACTTAAGACTATTTCCCAGTGCCTTTTTCTCCCCCCCCTTTTTTATTTTTTTATTTTTTTTTTGAGTCTCAGGATGACAAACTGATAAATGCACTATTAAAACTATCTCCTGCTGTCAGGGGGGAAAAAAAACACCCAACCCCACTGGTTAAAGAAAAATCAAATTAAAAATATAATTCCTTCACTGAGTGTAATCAAGAGACTCAAATCTTTTTAAAAAATTATTACATACAGCTGTAATTTATTACCACAGAGTCCATAAAGTTGCATCAAATTTCTTTCTTGAAATCATAAATGATATTGGAAATATATACATAAGCAAATTATTGTAAAAACAAAACTATCAAGCTATTCACACATCAGCTTTGTTCCCATACTTCAGCTGCTGTGAATAATGTACTCTCAAAATGAAATGACAGAATAGAATTGATATGTTCTCGCAAGCAAGTGTTTCAACTTCCTCAATAGACACTTGATGAGGTAAGAATGGGACCCTTGTGCCACTGTCAAATTGTATTTTCATTTGAGACACAATGTGCGATGTCTTTATATAAGTCCGCTAATAAAAACTGCATAGTACATCTTGATGGGAGGAAATGAGAATAAATGATTCAATTCACCTTGAAAGTTCTGTGACAAAGCATTAAAATTATTGCCTAGATGCCCGCTGTATAATTTCCATTAGTGTCTTATAAGTGATACAGGAAGGCACACTTCACTTTACTGCTGTAGACTGAAAAAAGGTGCCATGGAGAAGTACCCAGAGCCAGATACTAAAATCCAGCACAGAATTAAACACACTTCAATGCATATAAATCCATGGCCTTGCATTCAACTTGTGCCTGCTTTATATTCCTATCAAACTACTGCCATCTCATGAGATTTGGGCAAAATTTAAAGGAAAAGTAGGACAAAAGATATTTAAATATATTTAAATTGCTTCAGAATCTCTCATTCTGAAGAAGTATCAACCTGAGGTGCTATTTGGGGAAAAAAAAGGTTTCAGTCTTTTTCTCAGTGTTCCATTCAGGTGCATGTAAGGTAGGTCTTTGGCCTCAACTTATGCAGTCTTCAGAAAGCAAACACACCTATTTAGTCACTTTCCAGGAGCATAATGTTCTGCTCTCAGCAAACCTGGTTGTAAGGTATTTTTGTTTAATATTGCTTGTTGTTTATATTACCAGCCTAAGAAAAATCTATTTTTCAGATCCAGGGTATGCCTCTGACTAACTTCCTGAACTGTTGGTTGTTGTGGGATTTCCAGGTTGTTTGGCCATGTTCATGTTTTTCTTCTTCCTAATGTTTCGCCAGTCTCTGTGGCTGGCATCTTCAGAGGACAGGGGTCAGGATTTACTTGGATAGTTGAGTATTAGTTTGCTTGGATAGTTCAGTATTTATAGCTGTGGGATCAGCTTTTGTCCTATTCAGGTGCTTATGGTGATCAGCATGTCCTTTTGTTGTGGGTGTATTGTTGTGATAAGGGGGAGAGATTATCTGTCCCTGTGATTGATTGGTGTCATTAGCTGGTCTTTTGTGTGCAGTGAGCACTGGTCCTTGTGGCTGGGTAGAGTTCGTTAACCTTTTGCAGGCTGTATTTTTCAGTGCTGGGAGCCAGGCTTTGTTGAGTTTTAAACTTTCTTCTTTTTTGTTGAAGCTCTGCTGGTGTTTGTGCATTTCAATGGCTTCCCTGTGCAATCTAACATAATGATTGCTGGTGTTGTCCACTACTTCTGTGTTTTGAAATAGAATTTTGTGTCCAGCTTGTTTTAGGGCACGTTCAGCTACTGCCCATTTTCACAGTTGTTTTAGTCTGCAGTGTCTCTCATATTCTTTGATTCTGGTGTGGATGCTGCGTTTTGTGGTTCCAATATATACCTGTCCACAACTGCAAGGTATCCGGTATACTCCTGCAGTGGTGAGAGGGTCCCTTTTGCCCTTTGCTGACTGTAACTATTGTTGTATTTTTGTGGTGGGCATGAATACTGTTTGGAGGTTGTTTTTTCAAAAGTTTCCTCATGTGGTCCGTGACGCCTTTGATGGTTGGGCCTAATGGCTACTCGAAGAATGAAATCACAAGAGCCATGAAACCAAGAAAACAACACCAAATTGAAGAGGAAAAACAGCCACCCAGAAATAAAGTATTTCTGCCATACAGGTCAACGAACTCTACCCAGCCACAAGGACCGGTGATCACTGCACACAAAAGACCAGCTAACAACACCCATCAACCACAGTGACAGATAATCTCTCCCCTTTTGTCCCCTGCAAAAAGTCATAATATGTCTCCTGAAGCTTAGTTACTGGTAGAAAGGGCTCCCCACTAAATTATGCTGGTATTTTTGGTTGCATTCTTTTGCCTTTGACCCTGCCCACCATTGGAATAAGGACCAAAGAACATGCCTAAAATTGAATTCATCCCTCAGGCTGAAAGAAAAATAAGGAATGGGAAAACAGATAGTTGGAAGATAGTTAACACAACAAATGAGCTTGAAATAGCATTACAAAACAAATGAAGTACTCTTAAATAGTTCAAAAGTCAATGGAACAGTAAGTCCATCAAATTAATATCTATATACACTTACCTGGAAACAAGTCCCATTGAACATATTGGGGCTTACCTCTAAGTGGGTACTGTATACACCAAACTGCATAACAAGTGATAAAGTTTGCCTGAACTAAAATTGCCTACTTTAGCTCTCGCAGTGATCAAATAACTTTACAGAAAAAGATTAGGAACAGAAGAGAAGATAGACTTCTATAGATCCTCTGGCAACCAGTTAGGCACAGCAAAATCTGAGGTGTGCAAACATTGCAAAACCAGTATTTAAATTTGCTTATTCATTCAAAAGTGTGAGATTAAATCAGTTTTCATTAAAATGCAAACAAAAACATTTGTTCCCTGTAGATACTTATTAATATTTCTAGATTTCTTGAAGGACATCGTGTACCTTCCTCCTCCTTTCAGTACATGCAGAAGGGACAACATACCGGAGAGACAGAGATCATCCTTGAATGTATGAAGACCCTAACCTGAAAATCATTAGAACTGGGCATGACTGTGAGGTCACAATTTTTCTTTTCTTTGGGAACAAAAGTACTGTGATGGTGCAACAGGTTTCATGAACCCTTTGGCAAGCACCTTTGGCAGAGATTAAGAGGTTAATGGAGCAAATGCTGGTCTTAAAGTTCCCAAGAGAGGCATTTCCTGCTCAGGTGCATTTGGAGACCACCCCAGCTTCAAGTGCAATGCCAGAGCTATGAATAAATCCCAAAGAAATGATTGTAGTGAGCCTGCTAGTGCAACCTTCTTGTACAGCTCTCAAAAAGGACTTGACGGAAACACATTCACTCTGAAAAAATGAAGAAAGATTCGCTGAACTGTCCAAGTGAAAATACAGGACAACTTGACTAGAGATTGTGGCGTTCAGCTCTGCTCTCACCTGTCCGTCACAGCTAGGCAGGGGAATCTCAGCCAATGAGAGGGCAGAGGTTGGTGCAGAGGTGGGAGGAGCTGGGTTATATAAAGTGTGTGTGATGTGTGAGGGGAGATCAGATTGAGAGATGAGTGATTAGATAGATTGATAGAGAGTGAGAAAGAGCCTGTCAGTGAGGGAAAAGTCTGTGTGAGCTAGTGTCTGAGAAACAGTGATTGACTAATTGATTTAATACCAGTGATTTACCTTTTTTATTTTTGTATAATCAATAAACACTTTTATTTGTTTGAAAGAAACACTTGTCTTTTTGATTTTAAGGATAGGTTGGTGGCAGCAGTTTTGGTGAAAGGTAGTGAGCACTTTTAAGAGGCCTGGATGGGTAAAGGCTTAAGAGTGGCCCGCTACAGAGATAAAGAAGGCATTAGGCATATTTGGTGCAACCACCTCAAACTTAAAACCAATAACTTAATTCTAAGATCAATTAGGAATCATGATGATTGCTGCCCTAGCAACTGACTGCTATGTTACTGCAGCATTGCAGTATGATAATACCAAAATAAATATTCTGAATCACAGTACAAAACAGCCTTCTTTTAGGCTACTTTGTGCTATCTTCCAACACTTTTGGAGAATAGAAAGTTGGTGTGAAGTATTGATAAAGAATCCAAAAGGGAGGGGGAATCTAAATTACCTCTTTCTTTTTAAAAAGATCTTCAGAAGTGAAATCTGCCCGTTATTTATCTTAAACAAATAACTGTACTGAGAAGTACAGAATATCAGCTAATTGGAGTTGCCACACATTCTTCATCTAACTGCCTGCTCCTTTATTTATGTTATCATTCTTTTCAGCCAGGAAAAAGAGTGCCATGGCCCTATTATGACTGTATGAGCTGTTATGATACTGAGTGACAAGATATGTAGCTGTTATAACACTTCTCTTTCTCTTTGTAGGAAAAATCATTATGGAGCAATGCCTGCTGCATGTCTGAGGCAACTCAAAGAACAAGCTATTATCCTAAAAGAAAGAATCAGAAATAGAACAGGAAGCATACAAAAATCACATTGCAGGACAAACAAAAGTAGAGTTAAAGATAAAACAATATGAATAATCACATATCTACTGGTGAAGATAGATCTGTACAGTATTAAAATACAGCTACAGTGGTGCCTCGCTTAACGAGTGCACCGTATAGCGATGTTTCCGTAGTGAATAATCACATACAGTATCTACTGGTGAAGATACTGTAGATCTGTACAGTATTAAAATACAGCTACACCATTAATTATTACACCTCTTCATGATGATGGTGAAAAAGGTTCCGTATTGTAAAGAAGACAAACAAATATAAGCAATTTAAAGCAAAGATTTTGTGACGATGAGGAAGCTAACTTAAATAATATACATTTATGCAAAGCTGAATGTAGAATGTAAAGCATATAAGACTGAAAGGTCTTTTAAGTCAATGGGCCACTACAACAAATATCTCCACCATTAACTATTACACCTCTTCATGATACTGGTGAAAAAGGTTCCGTACTGTAAAGAAGACAAACAAATATAAGCAATTTAAAGCAAAGATTTTGTGACGATGAGGAAGCTAACTTAAATAATATACATTTATGCAAAGCTGAATGTAGAATGTAAAGCATATAAGACTGAAAGGTCTTTTAAGTCAATGGGCCACTACAACAAATATCTCCAAACTGTATTCATTCAGGGCATAAGTAAATGATCTAATCATAATCCTTTATATTCTGGCACACTTCTTCTGCTTAGTTTAATACTCACAGAAATATTGTATGCTGGTTCCAGTGTCACTGGCACTGACATCTTCCCTTGAAGATTTAGTTTGGTTAAGTAAAAGACTTTTTCTCCCAGAATCCTCTCTCTTTTTACACGTCGTATACTGTACAGTCTAAAGCGTACTGCATAATTCCCAATCATTTCAGACTCAATATGATTAAATTTAAATGTCTCTGTAAATACAGGGCATGGGCCCCGCTGGATGCAGGTTTTTGCTCTCTGTTTCTTGAGAGGAAGAAGAACCAGGTGTACTTGCCATAAACTTCCACTTGTCCTATTATAATTTGGAATGTCTGTGACAGCTGTGACAGTTATCAGAAGCCTCTGTTCCTGCGAGTCATAGTCAAAAGTCACATCCAGGGTGCCATATTTAGCTTCTGGTTCAGGATCAAAAGATTTAGGGAGCTGTGATGATGATCCTTGAGCTGACAGATCCTAGAAGAAATTGCAAAGAGAGGTCTGACATATATGTATGCCCATTTAGATATCTATACATGTATTCGGTATATAAAATTTAAAAAAACAAATTATCAGCTATCATTTAAAGGCAACACTAGAATAGTTATTTACAGCTACAAAATAACTTCAAATTTTTTGGTACTACAAAAAGTATCAGAATGTTATTTTGCATAATTTTTCATGGATTGTTACCCACTTCATCAGATGCAATACCACATGTTATAGTTAAAGCATTTATAAAGTAAAAAAGGAGTATGTATGTATGCATGCATGTATAGGTTTTAACTTTCTCATTCTTTGTAAGCAAGAGAAATAATTAACCCCTTTCATTAATTTTTAAACTAACATCACAATGCTACCATCTGCTGTCTTGTAGTATGGAATACAGCTAAAGCGTCACCTTCTGGACCTTAAAAAATAAATAAAGCTTGGGTGGGCTCATGCAGCACACATGTGGGCTGCCAAATTTGGGGGGTGGGGGGACGGCCCTGTTCTCGTTATGAGACATCTATTACAAAAACTGTTACAGGTACAATGCAAAACAAATGAAGCCATCCCATGTTATGTTACAAACAATTATAACATAATTTAGTCATTTTATATACTACAGAAAAGGGGTGAATTATCAGTGACTTGTTGGTTGTTACAGGTTACTTCCAAACACTGATATGATTTTTATATTTTGGTCAGTCTGTACATTTGCTACTCTGTAGAGTGGTATAATCTTTCATCCATTTCAAAGAAAAGGCAACTGGTTATGTTGACAGTCCGTCTGGAAAGAGGGCAACTCAGAAAAGAGAGGGAGCAAGGAGAAAAGGCTCTAAATAGTCAGGTCCAAAGCCTTAACTGGGAATAGCTGGGGAGAAATTATAAGGGCAATGTTGAAAAGAAGGTGAAGGGAGACTTCAGTGGGAATGAATCACCTCTGTGATACAGTTTTTCGAACAAAACAGATGAAGAAAATATATGAAAAGCAAAATATCATTAATATTTTCCAATATCTTACCAATGTATCTTACCTCCTTACAAACTGTCCCTGCTATTCTGAAGCTGTTCTAGTGTGTTATCAAGTACTGCTATAGATATATTTGCTTCTTTGCTATCAAAACACAGTAGTTTTGAAAAAGATAAGCAGTTTCAAGCAAATGTATGCTATCTGACACATGCTTGCATACAAATAAATAAAGCATAGAATTATATTGCTCGATATTCAGGAGCAAAAACTCTAGGGGTTGTATTTCCAAAGGCAAAAACTAAATACAATATGAGCAATGGCATGAATCGTTTCTTTAAAAAAAAACACTGTGCAGTAGTGGTGGATTTGGGTCTGATATGGAGATAATGTGCTTTACGCCTTGTTTCCACTGCTGTCCTTATCTGGATTGTCCCATTAGCACCTGCTGGCACTGGAAGAAAAGATACCATAGAAATCAGCGTTGGCCCAAGACACTTTGCTGCTTCAGGTAAAGGACGATATGACACTTGCCTACCTTCAATCTCATGTACATCTAGGCCTCCCATGACACTGAGGACACAAGGGTAATTGAGGGAGCAGAGCTCTCCTAAGGCAGGTGAAGATTTCTCATTTTCCACCTCGCCATAGTACCCATCCCCACATTTCATGCAGAGAAACCAGCAACCTTCTTTCAATGATCTGGTTAAGAATCTGGTTAATTTAGGGAGCCAAACAAACTGTGTAGCAAGGAGAACAATCACCCAGTTCAGGAGAAACAGTTAAAAGTTTATTGCCTCCAACCATCTGTTACCTTGAAGCAGTTACCTCACTGGCCAATGACAGGGCTAGTCATAACTGGGAGCTTGTCTTCCAGAGTCACCAGCGAGTGATGAGATATACAGTAGAGATGGGCACAGCTTGCTTCAGGCCAGGTTGTCGGAAGTCATCAGTGCGGCACCAGAGGTGTCCCATTTTTCCTTCCTCCTCCCTCCCAGCCAGCTCCCCCACTCACCAGTAAGCACACACTGCTCATCTCCTCCTCTTTGAACAACTATCCAGTAGCAGCAGGAGTTGAGGACTTCCCTTCTCTGCTTCCTCCAGCAGAGGAAAGTGTTGCAGGAATCCCTGTCCCACCTCCTCGTTTGAGTGAGCAGCTGCTGGAGGAGGCGGAGAATGGAAGTTTGTGCTCCTGTTGCGACTGGATGGTTGTGCAAAGAGCAGGGGATGGGCAGCATGCACCAGCTGGTGAGCAGAAGAGCTGGCTGGAGGGGGGGGGAAGGGAACACATGGCACCTGTGATGTCGCACTGGCAACTTCTGACAACCTGGCATGAAGCAAGTCATACCCATCTCTAATATACAGTGCAACTGAACTTCAAACTGTCAGACTAATACAGCTTCATTATATCCTGAGTAGTTTGGATACAAGTGTTTACCTCTGGACTAAGGACTGCAGTACTGTCACTCGGTACATCTTCTTCATATGCTTTGTTATGAAAAATTTCTATTTCGTGCCCAGTACTTCCTTCACTTGGGCACTTATACGAACATCTTGGGCTGTTACTACACTGAGAGAATTCACATTTGCTGTCACCAGCTTCAGAAGGTGTACACGAGAGGTGTGGAGAGCCACTGTCATCTTGGTATGGTGGTGGCTGTAATTCATCAAGAGGAGGCGTTTGTCTCATTCTCTGAATGCAGTTGGCTGTGAATAAATGACAATTACCAGAGATTTTCACTGTATAAGTAATATAGCTGAATCAAAAATATACAACTTGGTTATTTACTGAGATGGTAAAGGTTCCCCTTGACATTTTTAGTCCAGTCGTGTCCAACTCTAGGGGGCAGTGCTCATCCTGTTTTCAAGCTGTTGAGCCAGCGCTTGTCCGAAGAGAGTTTCCATTGCCACGTGGCCAGCGTGACTAGGGAAAGCCGTTTTACCTTCCCACCAAGGGGGCACCTATTTATCCACTTACATTTGCATGCTTTTGAACTCCTAGGTTGGCAAGGAGCTGGGACAAAGCAATGGGAGCTCACTCCATTGCGTAGATTCAATCTTACGACTGCTGGTCTTCTGACCCTGCAGCACAGGCTTCTGCGGTTTAGCCCACAGTGCCACCATGTCCCTACTAAGATGGTACTTTAAACTAAATTCAGACCTTGGGGCTCCAATTTGAAGAAATATGTGCCTTGTTTGGTGTAAGACACAGGGCTAACTCCCCCCACCCATATACACTCCCCTGACCAATATGTTGTTGCTTCAACAATACTTCTATTTTGTCCTACCCATGACCCTGCTCTTCCCAAAGGACTCAGCTTTTTATTTAAAATTTATTTATTTATTTGTATTCTCGAAGGATTTCCCGGCTGGGATCCGATGGCTGTTGTACTGTAGGTTTTTCGGGCTGTTTGGCTGTGTTCTGGAGGTTTTTCTTCCTGCCGTTTCACCAGTCTCTGTGGCCGGCATCTTCAGAGGACAGGAGCTAGAATTCTGATAGTTCTAGCTCCTGTCTTCTGAAGATGCCGGCCACAGAGACTGGCGAAACGTCAGGAAGAAAAACCTCCAGAACACGGCCAAACAGCCCGAAAAACCTACAACTCTCTCTCTCTCTCTCTCTCTCTCTCTCTCTCTGTGTGTGTGTGTGACCCCACATTTTTCCTTAAAAAGACCCAAGGTGGATTACATAATTAAAAGACAATATTAAAGCTAACAACAGTAAGTATTCAAATATTAAAAAGGATCAAACAAATATTATACTAAAAACAAATGCAACATCAAAACACATTCAAAGCAGTAAGGTACAATCCATTAAAACACCCCACTCAGGCAGCCAATCACTCAGGCAAGTCCCGTCTGCCTGAAGAGAAAGGTCTTTGCTTGTTTGTGTAAGGACAGCAAAGATGGGGCCACCCAAGCCTCCTGTGGGAGGGAGCTCCAAATCAGGAACCATCAACAGAGAAGGCCCTCTTCTGTGCACCCACCAGACCCACTCATGAGGATGGTGGGGCCGAGAAAAAGGCCCCTCTTTATTATCTTAACATTTGAGCAGGCTCATAAAGGGAAGTGCAGTCCTTGAGAGAGCTCAGGCCCAAGCCATTTAGGGCTTACAGTCGTGCCCCGCTTGACGATTACCTCATTAGACGAGGAAATCGCTTAACGATGAAGTTTTTGTGATTGCTTTTGTGATCGTAAAACGATGTTTTAAAGGGAAAAATCGCTTCACGATGATCGGTTCCCTGCTTCAGGAACCGATTTTTCGCTTTATGACGATCAGAAAACAGCTGATCGTTGCATGTCAAAATGGCCACCTGCTGTTTAAAATGGCTCCCGCTGTGCTTAGGATGAATTCCTTGCATTACAGGCACCAGAAAATGGCTGCCCTATGGAGGATCTTTGCTGGACGCTGAGGTATTTCGCCCATTGGAACACACTGAGCGGTTTTCAATGCGTTTCAATGGGCTTTTTCATTTCGCTTGATGAGGATTTCGCTTAACAGCGATTTGAATGGAATGGATTATCCTCATGAAGTGAGGCACCACTGTAATAGGTTAGAACCAGGACTTTGAATTCAGCCTGGAAACACACTGACAGCCAATCCTATGTCTTACTTCACATCATGTTCCAACTCTAGGATCAGGTTAACTGTAACTTGAATATGATGCTTAAGAGACTCTTGCAAAAGCAGTATACCACTGGCCCTTTTAAGTTGGAGTTGGAGAATACAGTTAAGTTCTGCACCTCTGCAGCAATGGCTCCTTATATAGGTTCATATCAAAAGTGTGGTTTGGTGGGTGGCTTGCTTGATCCTCCTGGTTAGATAATAATCTCAACAATAAAAAATTATTCAACCTGAATGGAATACTAATCTCGATTCTGTGACACATTTTTCCCCGCTGTAGTTACAGTAAATCCAACAGCCTTAATCAATACTCAGTTGTACTATGCAAAGCCGATCAGAATCCCAGTCTTTGCAGCTGTCTTCAAAATAAGACACAGGTTCTCTTTAATGAATCTTTGTTTTCATTTGGCAAATAACTTAGAATATTACTATGAAACTGTATCATTTAGTTTATTTATTTATTTATTGCATTTATATGCCGCCCATCTAGACACAGTCTACTCATTTAACTGATTTCTCAGTTAAATCAACCACTTAAAACCACCTGAATGCATTAAAATGATATTTGCCACTAACTGGGCAAAAGGATTTTTAACAAATACTATGCAAATATTATACAAATGTTTTACAGATATTTAAATTAGGCAGGGGCTTAAGTTATTATTAGTTGTGAAATGTCAAACTGACTCAAACACTTCACAACTTGTATCTACTAACTAATCACTGACATTTTATCTTGAGGCCATGTATAAATGATTGCCAAGTACAGGTAGTTTCACTCTTATGTCTGAGGAACTAAACTTATTTCACAGAAGCTCACATCAAAATATAGCACTTAAGTCTCTAAGGTGTCACAATGTTTTTGTCTTCTTTATTTTGTTGCTGCTGCTTTGTTTTGTTTCTTGTCTTAAATGGGGCACTTATATACACGGCAACTGGTGGACACCATCTCTAAAAAAGCATTCCCCACTTCCTTCTCCATAACATAGGATGGAATGCATCACGGAAGCAGGTATCTATTGCGACCCACACATGCATCAGGTGAAAACAAAAAAAAGCATGTACTTTTTCAAAAAACACTTCTTACATATAGAAATGTATGCAGTTTAAATCACCCATTTCATTAAAACACAAACAATTAATCATGGTTTCCACAGTCACGATGGTCAATATATGCTGGAAAAGATTAGAAACACATACAGGATAAACTTTAAAAAGAAATAGGCATAATCGCGTGAATGAAAGAATTCAAGAAAACTCTGCATTTGCTCAGAAAATTAGCAGAGAACAGAAACAAATTAGCTCTCTTGTTCTTAGGAAGAATTTACATTAGAAGTAAAAATGATTTAGCATACTAAGCCTATAGGATAAATTCCAAAGAAATGTGTATTCCGGGGACTGGGGGCATGGCAAGAAGCAGAGAAACTATTAATGGTAGGTACTATCTAGTTCCAGCAGTTAGGATGCTAGCCTCTGTAGGAGAAAACAAACGGCAGCCTTAATATTAACTACTATTATTGTTTCAGCTGCAATCTCCACTCTAGATTTATCTTAGATGAAAGACATGACAGGACTTATGGGAGAAGAAAATGAAAGACCGAATTAAGACCAGTGGTGGGATTCAGCAGGCCAACAAATGGTTCTGCAGAACCAATAATACATTAGCTACCGGTTCTGTAGAACTGGTGCGAACCTGTTGAATCCCACCACTAATTAAGACGGTTGTGAATAGGGCTGGAGGCTCTCCCTATTGACTCTTGAGAAATACTGAACTGCTTTTCTTCTAAAGACTCCATGGTCAAAACCTAACTGAAGTTTTCTGTGTGCATAAGGACATTCATGGATTTTAATTTTATTTTATTTGCATTTTCCCATTGTACAATCAATTGCACACACAAAGGAAAAGCCAGTTTGCAATGGAGAGCTAGGGAAACAGCTCACTTGCACACCTGCCCTTATGCAACAGGGTAGAATTCCTACCATTTAAAAAATAATAATTATTATTTTCTTTTCTTTTGATACCTTCGATGTTTCAGTCATGTTACTTTGCATGCCCTGCAGTTTCCCACAGGTCCTCATCATCTCCCACTCTTCTAGTTCTATATTCTGTTTTGCCGAACTGTGTCTACACTTTCTATCTCATTAACATCTGGAAACTACAGCTTTGTCCCTGTGGTTCAACATTCCTAGCAAGAGAATGCTTTACCAAATCACATTCAACACATTTGTTTCGAGCTTCTCTTGGACCCTTAAAAATATCCATAATGTTAACAAAATGCATATTGTTACCCATGACCCACCTGATTCTATTTTTCTCATAGGAATTGTGCAGCTTGATAATTTTTGCAAGTAATACTTTGTAATAATTATGTCTGAATTCATCCTCAATGCTGTATGCTCACTCTCTCTTTTTTCTCTCTATGCCATTCCCCCATACACTACATTCTTCGTGTTTATTTTTAATCTAACCTAGTACTTTCAAAAGTTTTAAACCTTCAGGGGCTTCTAGGCAAATGTTAAAACAATTTAAATAAAACATAAAATGGAACACATGTTTAAAAATTAAAGAAAATCCTTTATTCTGAATGATTAAATATCCGCAGAGGTTTTTGCTATGCTTCTCCAATGAGTGCAAATGGAATTTTCATGTTTTAATATTTTTGAGCTGAGAAAAGTTCATCTCGCCAAATAACCCTACACCACTAGGAGAGTATAGAATATAAATAATAAATATTTAATAAAGACCTGGGGCTCTTTTTCCCCCTTTTGGTCTAAAACAGAAAGGATTACACAAGTATACACAAACATTGTTCTTTTACAATGGTGTGGGTTCTTCCAGCATCCTGTTACAGATGTATTTCTGCACTGATCATCTGCTTACCAAAATGGAGACAGTGCATATGAATACATGAAGCATCACTAGGTAGTGAGAAAACAAATATATTTTATGAGGGAGGAAGAAAAGTAACTTTGGGTAGGTTGTAATATTATGTAACTTGATAAAAGAAAACTAGTTATTTTGAGCTTCACTTGTAGAAAGTCTTTCCCATCCCAGAATTCAGACATTACAGAAGTATGATGAAAT